CAATTCTATAATAGTAACAAACGGCAGATTACTGAATCCCCATGAAATTACCCGCTTCAGCAGACTTCAGATAATACGTGAATGCTTTTATTAACTCCAATTCCTAAATAATAACAATGTCCAACTTGATAAATCCCGTTGGAATCTTTCAGCTCTGCTTATTGTTGATAATATATGAATGCTTTGTTTTCATCCTTTTCAATTTTAATTCCATATTCCCAAGCCAATAAATTCCATCTGGTCGATTGATCTGCCAATTTTTGAGTCATTGGAATTCAGTTGATTAAAATCTTTAGTAATTTGAATAATAATTTCTTTTTCCATTTTGGTTTACGAAAAAAATAAAAATGGCAATAATGCAATAAACAAACATACTAATACTGTCAATTTATTTATAGAGGTTGTACAATATTCTAAAACTGTAATGGTGCAATTCTGCAAATAATTTATCTTACAGGCAAGGTAAACAACGAACAGCGGCACAATTTGGCAAAATTAATTTTTTTGTAACTGCTAAAATTGCATGTACGACGTACTTTCTTTGCCATTAATAATAACTTATAATGAATTTTTAATGAAAATAAAAAAAAGAAGATAATTTATAATGATAATACCCTTATAAAAAAAGCATGTCCATTTATTGTAGGCATTGTACGAAAAAATATTCGGAATGGAGTCGATTTTCCGAATGCCAGTACGATATCGATTCCATTCCGAGTATTTTTTTTTGAACAAAAACAGAATAATTCAAGAACTAAATTACAATTACTATCTCTATTAAGTTACAGGACATATGATGTTCTATCTATTTCTAAGTAATAGATCGTAATTTATTTTATCTAAAAATTCGTAAAAGTTTATATTATTCATAATTTGGTTTGATCTCGGATATAATTCCATTAATGATTTTAAAGATGTATTTCCTTGATTCATAAAGCTAAATGATAAAATAAGCGATTAAATTATATTATTAAGAAAACTTTTGATATTGAAAAAGATAATAACTTACAGGATAAATTGATATTACACAAGTACTGATAATAGCCCATAAAATTGCAAACACAACCCAGAATATAAAGAAATCTTTTGAAAAGACATATTTTGAAGTAATCATAATGAAAGGGATAATAACTGCTAATATAATTGTTAAAATGACGCTACTCCAAACAGCACATTTAAAAGCTTTCTCGAGTCCCGTAGAGTTTTGATCTAAGGACTCTTGGGATTCATCTCTGATATAAACTTCGTCACTAGCCATTATTGCCAATACTTGTTTAACTTTTCTAAGTTCATGACCTGGTGAAGAAAATATAGACCACATAATCGCGACTATACCTGAAAGCGTTATTGACGCACTGTAGACAAATAAAATTTAAGATAATTATAAATGATGAAAACATAGATGATGAAAACATTTGATATGTATAAAACTATGATAAGCATTGATAAACACTTACATATTTCCATATAACATAGGATAATTGCTGCCAGTTGATTTAATTGAGATTTCATCAAAAATATGTTTAGCGACACCTAACCAAACAGATATTCCAGCTACAAGTCCTAATATTGCAGCTCCAATAATACCATAAAGATTTTCCTTATCACATGTTAAAGTGATAAAAATTGGAATGACTACCGGAGAAGTAATAATGCCCATAAATAAATACATATAACCTAAGTCAACACCGATATAATGTAGTATTGAAGAAATTACGCTCATTGCAATACCAGAAACAATATAAGAAAGATATGATTGTGCGTTTAATTGATCTTCATCAGCCTTTTAAATAAAAATATAAACATATATTAAAATTTTACGTAAAGGAACTTTAATGAAATAACTTACATCGTAATTGATATAAGTGCGATATATGTCATAAGTATATATAGAAGATATTGAAACTAGTTCTGCAGACGTTGCAGACCTACAATAGATATTCGTTATTGTTTAGCGAATGTCTATACAGTAAGTACGTACATAAGTATTTGGCGGCAGAATTTTATACTCACATGACTGACATAAAAATCAATACCAATACAGCAACTGCGCCAAGTTTTCCTAAAAGTACAGCCGCAGCTGCCGGAAGCACTAATCCAGCTGATAAATCTTCATCGGTCAATGGATCCATTAGGCCATCTTCAACCAAAGCTATACCAGAAATTCCCATGGATGTAGCCAAAGTAAAAGGAATGGCAAACCAAGACAATCCGCCAATTAAGTAAGCTTTCACAGTGGAAGATGTTCGAACAGCTATTGCACGTTGCCAGTAAGCATTATCAGCAAAGATTGTTCCAAAATTTCCAATAATACCGATAATCCCAAAATATAATCCTTGAAATGAAGATAACGTGACGTATGATCCATCTTCATTATAAGGAACTTTATTACGTGATGAGGCTTTTACCAAAAGATCATACATTTTGTCAGCTGAGCCAATATAAGATGAAAACCTGTACACAACGAATGAAAAGTATAGAATTA